AGTGAAGGATGGCTGCTCACAGCTTCAGGTCCATATCCTTGTATGGTCAAGTCCAACAGAAAAAAACATATCCAGTGATGATATACATTTATCAGGAGCATGATGCCTGAGAACAGAAGTGTCATTTTAAAGCCTTAGATTCCTTCTGACTCGACCAACTTAGGTCATCACTGCAGCCAGGGAACTAGAAGTACACTAATTGGCCAAGCCAGGTTACATGCTTTATACTTGAACTGGAGGGGATCACTATCTGAAGCAATGGGGAAGGGTTGTCCCCTAAAGGAAATTCAGGATGCTTTTAGCAGAAGGGGAAAAGGGTGCTAGACAGTTAAAAATAATACTTATCTAGTATAGTACCTAGGGACATATAAGTTAACATTTTCCCCCGTTGGTCTTTGTAGAAGAAAATTTTTACTTAAATACAAGAGCAGTAACTCATTATTAGTATAAGTAAAAAGTTAAACTGGCTCATTAAGAATTTAAATTGACTTATGAAATTTAAAAAAATAACACGGGAAAGTTAAAGAGAAGCAAACAAAAAATGACTAAAATGAGCAGACAAGTGACCATATGGGACTTGAGGCAAAAACAAACAATAAAACTGCCTTATACAATCTTTGCTGTTAGATAAAAGGAATAATACTGATAAACTGTCAGATAGAAAGGAGTTTGTTGACAAAGATAAAGTTCAATTTTAGTAAGAATTTATCATATGGACTTCTTTAAAAGAGAACTTAAAGAGGACAGTTTTGAGTTTCATTTGAGCAGATGATACATAATTACTTTTCCAATGTATATTAAAGCGATTTATTGATTCAGAGAGCATTTATTGAGCACCAACTGTATACCAGACACTAGAGATCTAGGTTTGGGAGTCATGTCAGTAGGTGGGAGTTGAAGCCATTGAGTGTGGGTTGGATTATCCATGGGGAGTATGAAGGGCGAAGAGAGTGGAGACTGAAGGCAGAGCCAGGATGCTTGGTGTTTAATCCCATCTCCACCTGGGGAGAGGTGATGGGGCAGGGTGTGTAGGGAGGAGAGCAGGAGGGCATTTATCCTGAACACCAGGAAGGGGAAGGGAGAGTGACACTTAACCATTAAAAGAGATTTCTAGGAAGAGGGTTCAGGAAAGTGCCTGGCAAACAAAGAAAAGTGGTTATTTTTTATGAAGCACCGGGCTGCACAACAATAGAACATGAATCTGTTCCTCACTTTGATGGTGGCCTTCCAGGTAACATGAGATGCTGGAGTACTCACTTTCCCTGGGACTCGATTTTCTTATCCTTAAACTGTCCAGCCAGGGTCACCTTTTATCCACAGGTAGAGTAGGTAGCACAGCGTGGTGTGGCTTAAGGGTGTGATTTAAAAGTCTTTCCTTTCAAGAAAAACCCTTGGCTTTACACTTTATTGCCTTTTTAAATACAAATACCTCTGGGATATAGAAAAGATCAAGCGTTCTCATCTTTAAATAATAACCATATATTTATAAAGGACCTGGCATTTTCCTTTCACACCCCATTATTATATCTTAAATTTGTAATCATCCCATGAGGTGGTGAAGAGAGCAGACATTATTTCCAGTTTACAGAGGAGAAAATGAAGACTGCCGCAGAAGTGGTATTACTTGTCCGATGCCGTATGGCTGGTCACGGGTTGAAGCTGATCAGGTCTTCTGACTCCAAGGGCTGGTAGTTTTCTGCTCTACAACCTCATAGCATGAGAGGAAGAGAGGGTCCAAAGAAACACTTCATTTACTTCCCAGTCAAGTTGTTGTCCTTTCAACCTTAGTTTGCGGAGGGTGCAAGCTCAGCTCCAAGTCCAGTCACCGCTTTCAAACTAAATAGTTGCGGAGGGTGGGGAGGTGGGGTGGGGGTGGCGCAGCCCACCATCCCATGTGGGAATTGAGCTGGCATCTTTGTTTTTAAGAGCACGTGCTCTCACCAGCTGAGCCATCCGGCCGCCCATTGGCAGCTCAGCTGGGCGCAGCTCACTGGCCCATGTGAAAATCGAACCGGCAACCCTGTTGCTCAGAGCTCGTGCTCTAACCAACTGAGCCACCCAGCTGGCCCCTTACTTCCCAGTCTTGCCTGCTGCATTTGGAGAAAAGAAACTAGCAGGTCCAAGAGGACTCTAAGGCCTAGGATTGGAAGATCTAGAAGGGGTGGACAAAAGATCTAGAAGGCCAAAAATCTAGAAGGGGTGGACAGTGGAGGTAAGAAAAGAACGTAAACTGCAGAAACTACACATCCTATCATGGGAAGCTCTCCAGAAAAACTTTGAAAATAGAATTTGAAAAAGACCTTTCAGATTAGGGTTAGATGCTTCCCTTTGTCACCAGAACTCCACTCCCTGAATGGACTTGCTAAACAGAAAGGGAGTACCCTGGATCCCTTGCCCAGGCCTGGTATATCTTTCACTAAAAATGAGTAAATTGTGGCTTTGTTTGTAAGGAGAAATCCTTTGGTTTTTATCTGTGGTATTGTGCCATTTTGTGGCATTTTCTTCTCTAATATACTCTGTCCATATTTCTACTAGTCATACATGTTGATAGGTAGCCTCAATGTGTTAGAAATTTTCTGGAAACCATTGGAAAGCAAAGGAAAGCTTTGAGCATCTCACTTTATATGATAGAACTCACTTAGCATTCCATTATTTTTTTTAACATGGTGTTTACTTAGCATAGAAGATGAAATACAGAACACTGTGCTTTAAATATCTTTAGCAGGGTAATCAGTTTTCAAAAGAAAAATAATAAGAAACCACACTAAATAAAATGGATAAAAGTGAAAACCAGTAAATTAGACTTCATGTTTACATATCAGTTTTTTATGGAACTAATTCCATAGAGCTTTCTGAGGAAATTATAATTTTAAGCTATAGCGAATCTAAGTTTATCTAAATATATTAGCTAGACCATTAATTAACATACATTGTATTAGTGTCAGAACCATTCATTTCATCTGTGTTTACCAAACTGAGGATAATAAAATAAGCAACTGTGAAATGTGTAACTTGATTCCACCCCTGAACCCCAAGATGAAGATTAGATGAAGGAGAAAAGAGAGCATTGGAAGTGCCTTGATTTTCAGATGTTCCTGGAAATAGATGTCATGTTTTCACCAAATGCTAACTTTCCAGATAATATTCCTAAATACTGGACTGACATGAATCAGCAGCAGACCTGTGTAATCCATGCACCCCGGACAGGCAGAATACAACACTGTAAAGAACAAGTTTTCGCAGACTTGTCTTTCCTACAGAGTAGAGAAGGTAATACTGCATTTAAAAATTACTTCTTATAAGTATTGAAGAACTAACATGAAAGCCATCTTTTTATATAACACTCTTTCTTCATTTATACTTCACTATATTTATTTTAATGAGACTCACTCACATAGACTTCAAATCTCATTCATTAGCAGTAATGGAGATTCCCAAAAGTCACATGTATGTGTTTGGATACTTTCACTTACAATTCACAAACCCACTCAAACTTATTAAAAAGAAGAAATGTGTGGAAATTCCAGAAGTAGGATGGTGTTTGGGGCAGTTTGATAAAGTGACTCAATGATGTTCTGGATCTAGTTTCTCCAGATTTGCTGTCCACACTGCCAGCTTCATCCCTTTGTGATTATAGGATGACTGCTGGTGGCAATGAGGGTGTGTTGGCTTCCTGCATTCACATCCTGCAGAAGAGACAGCGTCCTATCCCACAATCACTAGATAAGAGTCCCAGGCTTTGCGTTGAGTGGACCACTCCAGCCAGTCTGTGTTGGGGGTGTGCCATGTACTGATTGGTTTGGACCTGGGCTATTGGATCCCATCATTGTGTGCTGTCATTATGAGATTACCCTGATTTGTTTAACCCAATTAGGGTCTATCCTAGCTAGAACTATAAGTGGGGCCAGCTCACCCCCAGCTGGGAGTTAATGCACAATGAGGGTGAAGTAGAATGGATGCTCAGAGATTTACAATGTCCACTATGCTGCATAAAAATATTAGCCAGTTGCCGTCCAGAAGCTGGCGACTGATCTGCCTCGCCCGGGAAGAGTGCAACGATGGTGCCAACTTGGGCCAGTGAAGCAACGTCCTCCACAACTAGACTGAAGAATCGAAAGACAGAAACTTGTCTGTTCCCCTTCCCCCAATTCCCCAGCACTGTTCCCATCCCCCAATTCCCCAATAAAAGTCTTTAATAAAAAAATATATATATATATATATATATATATTAGCCAGTAAAATGTAGAAGTTTATGAGAAGGTCCTTATCATACCATAGATATCAGAGCAGGGTGTGACAGCTTAGTAATTTAAAATCAAGCTGATGCTTCCATAAAACTGTGTACTTAACTACATTACAGCACTTACGAAATTGGGCTTTGGTAACCTTTCACATGCCTGACTCCCCCATTTGACAGTGGACTTCTTAAGATAGGAGCCACATCCTACTCATCTCTACATTCCCAGTACCTAGCAGATTGTAGAGCACAATACCTATTGAAGGAACTTAATTGGATGAATAAAAATTCCTGAGAAAGAGAAACTGCAGAAAGGACAGAATTTAAAGGAGCAGATGCTTCTTGATGTTCAAGCTGTTGAGAGTACTGGAATGTTGCTTCGATTATGTTTACTCAAAACCTGCAACATTCTTGGCTCTTGTCCTTGGCTCCTGTCCTATCATACCCATTTGAAGAACCCCAATTTTGGATTAATTCCTATCATATCCATTTGAAGAAACCCAATTTTGGATTAATTCCATAACCTACCTTCTCTACCTACTGCTGCTACATAAAATCTTTACTAATTCATGGTCCCTAACCTCAGCTGGACCCTCCAGGTGCCTAGAATCCTTCCTTGCTTCCTCCAGTCAACTCCCTCATGCAGTCCCCATTCCAAACCTTTATCACTCTCCTTGAGGCCTCCATCGCTGTCAGCAAAATACTTTTCCCCTTGCTTTTGTTACTTGGGTCTCCTTAACAGCTGCTACAAGTATCCACTCCGTTCTTCTTCAGCCTCTCTTCTGCCTTTGTTTCTAGAACATCATTCACTCAGATGTCCTCCTCTCTCCTTAGACATAGGTTATCTGGATCCCTTTCTTATGCTTTCATACTACATGTATGTTCTAACCCATCACTTACCATGCTGAGGGGGAGTGATTTGTTTTCTTGTCTCCCCCGCTAGACTGAAAGTTTTTTGAGGTTAGATACCCAACACAGTGCTTGATTCATACTAGGTGTTTAATAGATGATTATTGAATGTATATTAAACTCATTTTTTAGAAGGAATGAGAACCAATAGAGAATTATCATGGTTTGAAATGCTATTGAGGTTTCTGGAAAGAAATAGTCTTTAGGCAGTTATGAGGTGATTTCTGACCATAATTGGAGCAATGCAGAATCAACTGTTATTGGGATGGATTTGGAGATCAGAAAGAGTTAAGGAAATAATTATTAAATGATAACCAATTTTTGATTAGGAATTTGCATGTCACTGAATCTCCAGGAATTCCAGGAAACATATATAGGTAAACATTTTTATATAAATTATAAGTTCTGTTACATAAAGTAGATAATAATAAGCACTATTACAAAGTATAGATACTTGTAGTTTATCCTTTTTTGAGAGGCAGAAAGCTACTGTTAAACACAATTTTTAACTTCCACAGCTGAAAAATCTTTTTAAAAGAAAGGTGTTTTTTTTTAGACCATTGCTAGCAAGAATAACAGACAGACCAGGTCCTAGGGCAAGAAGTCTAAACCACCAGTAGCAGAGCCATGTGGAAAAGGCAAAATGTCTGCCATCCTGAAGTTGGCGAGCGTTTGTATACATCAAGTAGAGGGGAGAAAGATGTAAGTTTTTTGAAAGAATTTACATTGGCTGTAGATAAAGGGGGTGGAAAAAGATGAAGAGAGGCTACTTCTGGGATAGGTGCAGAGTCCATAACGATGAAGTATTTGCTATTTAGGATTTAGGATTGGTTGTGGGCAACAGTCCGGAAAGTTCATCTGTACACAAGAATCAGAGGCTCCTGGAGTTTGATGGAGCCTGGCTGTTGTCTTTTACATAATCTCAGAATTAGTCACCTGGAAATTAATTCAAAGTTCCAACATACACTCAGGAATGTGAGCAGCCTTGTTAGGTGGCCCCCAGCTATTAACAGACTAACAGTTGTGGCTCCTCTCACTCTTCAGCCTACTGTAATTTAATTTAGAACATCTCAGCATTTTTCTCTTGTCACTATCTACTGTCTGAATTTGCTGTTTGTTTGCATTTTCTTCTCCTTCTCCTCCTTCTCTCTATTGCTTATTTTAAAGTCCACAACAAACACTGAGCTCTAAGTTCATTTCCAAAATATCTTGCTTCTTGTCATTTGCAGATTGAGAGGATACAGAATGCATTTCTATGGCAGAGCTACCAGATAAGGAAAAATCACATGGACATCAAGAATGGCCGTGCAGATAATGAGAGAATCCTCTTCCATGGGACAGATGCAAACTCAGTGCCACATGTCAATCATCATGGCTTTAATCGCAGTTATGCTGGGAAGAATGGTAACGAAGCGAGTAATCTGACTGATCAAAATGAGATGAATGGTATTCCTAGAGTTGACTATTCATACTCAAGCATCATAGAACCATAGATGGCAGCCATATTGTCATTGTCAGGATAGAGCTCATTACATCTCCCCAAAAAGGAGACGGGCAACCTTCTGAGAACAGATGGAGTGAATTTTAGAAATGATGAAAAGTGGCTTTGATGACCAAGAACTACATTAAATTTTTTTTTCAGGTTTGGGCATGGTTCTACATACTGTGATGATTTTATGTTCTTAAATAAGCTTTTCCCTTCACAGATGCAGCATATGGAAAAGGAACCTATTTTGCTGTTGATGCCAGTTATTCTGCTAATGATATATACTCCAGACCAGACAGCAATGGGAGGAAGCATGTTTATGTTGTACGAGTACTTACAGGAGTCTACACACTTGGACGTGCAGGATTAATTACCCCTCCAGCAAAGAACCCTCACAATTCCACAGATCTGTTTGACTCTGTCACAAATAATATCCAATGTCCAATGCTATTTGTGGTATTCTTTGATAATCAAGCTTACCCAGAATATCTCATAACTTTCAGATCTTAAAAAAACAGGGTTTTAAAAAAATCTCAAAGAAGTGATTTAGTCATCTATTTATAAGAATAACTTGTAGAATTTTTGTCTTTGCCTTTGGCTTGTTTACATAGATAAAACATCGCCCTGTTAGGTGCTGAAATGCTGAAAAAAGCCTTTTAAGGTGCTTTATTGCAATTTGTAACATTCCTTTCTTCTGAGCATATTGATGGGTTAGAACCTGAGAAATGTAAATGACACAACTAGAGCTACAACTATAGATACCAAACGAACAGGAGAACAAACAACACATTTCTTTTTTCTACTGGAAAAGAAATAAGATGAATCACTTTAAAGCCAAGATGTCATTGTTCTTACTATGTGTTAAGACATCAAACTGTGTTGAGCTAAACCATGCTGTTAAATGAATAGGCTGCCACTATGCATCTGCAACAGCTGGGGATTTTGCCTTCTTAAGAAATGCTTATTAGCAATAGAAGGACTCAATCAAAGAATATTACCTCAAAACTGTTGTAGAACAAATCAGGTAAAAATGTGTTGTATTGATACGTAATGCTACATAACAAATTACTGCCAAATGTAGTGGCTTTGTGAGTAAGAAATTCAGACATGGCTTAGCTGAGTCTTCTGACTTAGGGTCTCTCATGAAGTTGCAGTCAACTGAAGGCTTGACTGGGGCTGGAGGATATGCTTCCAAGGTGAATCATTCAAATAGCTGGCAAGTTTTTGCTGGTTGTGGGCAGGAGTCCTCAGTTCCCCTCCACACAAGCCTCTCTGTAGGCTGCTTTAGTGTCCTCATGACCTGGCAGCTGGCTTACTCCACAGTGAGCAATTCAGGAAAGAGAAGGCAGAAGCCACAGGTCTTTTATGACCTAGCCTCTGAAGTCGTACTCCATCCTTCCCACAATATCCTATTGGTTACATGAATCAGCTTATTCAATATGAGAGGGAATTAAACAAGGCATGGACACCAGTAGGCAAGGATCATTGGGGACCATTTTGGAGGCCATATGAATGAGCTAATGAGTGAAAAATTGATAAAATGTTAGCAGTGAAAGTGCTGCTAGTGATCATCTAGTACCACTGTCCCTCATCTTTCTCCCCTTACAATCCCCCACTCCTAGGGCAAAAGGCCCTCTTACCTCTGCTTCACCACTTCCAGCACTCAGCATCTTGAGGGAACCTATTCCATTGTGGGAGAGCTCTAATTATTGGAAAACTCCTGTTAACACTGAGCTGAAATCTGTTCTGTTTATATTACCTGCTGATCACTGTACTGCCTACACTGACACAGAGCATACCTTATTTCTTTTATAGATGGTGGCCCTTTAGATTTGTCCCTTATATTAGAGTTAGGTAAAGTCTTAAAATATTTAGCAACTTATTTATCCCGAAGCATTACGTTTCAAGAGTTACAGACATTTAAGAAGTGTTTACATTATCATAAATAAAGCACATGCACATTTAAAGAGTCCAGAAATATATTAAAAAAGAATTCTCTCTCACCAAACTCCATCACCCGTAATTGCAACACCCCCCAGGAAACCGCGTCAGTGTTCTTAGGTACTTCCTTCTACTTCATCTACCTTCAAGAAAGTCAAAAATCACACTTTATTAAATTAAAATTATACTTGATTCAATTACTAATACAATACTGTACCTACATTTTTTCATTTAACACTGTCAGCATTTATCTTGTGTTATTAATTTTTCCTGTAAACATAATCTTAATAGCTGAGTTATTCACTATTTTCTTTTTTATGAATATATAATTATAAAGTTTTAAGTGTCATCTTATAGTTTAATAATAGTTCTTTTAGTTCTTTTGTAGTATATCTGGATCATTTTCCCCATGTCATTAAATATCTTATACATCATTTCAATCATATTTCATTGTGTGTTTTTACATATGCGTATATGTCATATCAAAATAGGGTGCTCACATATCTAGATAAATTAATAGTTGGAATATGAGATGCAAAAACCATACTCTACCGTCAATAAGACACCACTCCCTGAATTTCTTGTGGAAAATCTAGTCCTAGTGAACAACACAACGTTAAGTAATGCTCTGTTACTACCTGGGCCTTGTTTCCCAGCCCCAGTGTAGAATTCTCATGAGCCAGGTTGGAACATGGAACAACTCCTTTTCCTTAGGTAAGGTAGGCTCTTCCAATGTAAACTGCCGTCTTCTGTATCCCTGATGCGCTTCCTCAAGGATTCTCCAATTTCTTTTGCTATACTCCTACTTCAGTAGTAAGACACAGAAGTCTTGAGTATAATACACCCATGTTATTAAAATTGTAATGGTTTCCTGAAGAATAAAATATAAACCAATTGATAATTATGTAGTTATTATAAATTCTACCTTTCATCAGTCTGAAGCTAAATCCTGTCTTTTCATTTTTTAAGTCCATCTCCTTCTTCCCAGCTGGCTTGGCATTCTCTTATCTATATAACTAGAATGGTCTCCACTTCTCTCCCCCAGACCCACTGTTTCAATTAATTAAACTGGGAGACCTTCTCAAACTTTGCTAATTACTGAAGAAAAGGGTTTCCTCTCTATGGATTTCCAGAGTTTGGGCTGATGGTACTTGATTGATCAGAGACCATGAGGTACCATTCTGGACTCTGCTTTCACAGAGAGCTTTACTGTCTCATATATCTAACCTCTGTTTACTTCTCTTAGCATTTTTCTCCTTCTCACTCCTTTCCCCTGCTCCAATCCTTTCACTCATTTGTGGAGAAATGAGGACACACACACACTCTGCTTGGATGAATCAGGGGAAACATTTTTATTTTTTTCCCTTCATCTACAACAGAGAGCCAGTCAAATTCCATGTAGTATATACGGTGATGTGTTAATTGAACACAAGGTTTGTGGGTTAATCATCACAAGGCTAGTGTAATCATTTACAGCTAATATGAACAAATTCAATTTCTGTTAAACACTTTATTAGAACAAATAGAGTTTCTTGTAAATATGCTTTACAAGCTTAGTTTATTAAATTATTACAATTCACTCTTCCTGTGTGTTTCTCCTTTACTCTCACACCAGTACCACACAACACTTCTGACAAGCAAGTCTCTGCGACATCAGCTTGATGTCCCACAATTTTTTAAAAAATAATTTTTTATTTTTCAATTACAGCTGACATACAATATTATATTAATTTCAGCTGTACAACATAGTGATTAGACATTTATATAACTTACAAAATGATCACTCCAATACATCTACCAGTAGTATCTATCTGACACCATACATAGTTATTACAATATTATTGACTATATTCTTATGCCATACTTTACACCCCCATAACTATTTTGTAACTATCAATTTGTACTTCTTAATCCCTTCCCCTACTTCACCCATTCCCCCAACCTCCCTCCTATCTGGCAACCATCAAAATGTTCTCTGTATCTATGTGTTTGTTTCTGTTTTGTTTGAGCATTTATTTTGTTCTTTAGATTCCACATATAATCTAGTAAATCATATGGCCTTTGCCTTTCTCTGTCTTACTCCACTCAGACAGTATCCCCTAGGTCCATCCATGTTGTTGCAGACAGCAATATTTCATTATTTATGAATGAGTAATATTCGATCGTATTTATGTACCAATTCTTTACCCATTCATCTATTCATGGACACTTAGGTTGCTTCCCTATCTTGCCTATTGTAAATAATGCTACAATAAACATATGGATGCATATGTCTTTTCAAATTAGTGTTTAGGGATTCTACAGATAAATACCCTGAAGTGGGATTACTGGGTCTTTTGTCTTAAAGTCTATTTTGTTGGTGTAAGTACTGTTACTCCAGCTTTTTTTTTTTTTAATTTAAGGGCATCCAGCTTTTTTGTTTATTTGTTTCCATTTTCATAAAATATCTTTTACCATCCATTTTCTATCCGTCTGTGTGTGTCTTTCTATCTGAAGTGGGTCTCTTGCAGGCAGCATATGTAAGGGTCTTGTTTTCTTATCCATTCAGCCACCCTATATCTTTTGATTGGAGCATTTAAACCATTTACATTTAAAATAACTTGATAAAGATGTAATTATTGTCATTTTCTTATTCATATTTTTTACCCTTTTTTCTTCTTGAAGTCTCTTTAACGTTTTTTTGTGAAACTGGTTTGGTGATGATGAACTCCTTTAGCTTTTTCTTGTCTGGGAAACTCTTTATCTGTCCGTTGATTCTAAATGATAGCTTTGTTTGGTAGAGTAACCTTGGTTGTAGGTCCTTGCTTTCATCACTTTGAAGATTTCATGCCAATCCCTTCTGGCTTGCCAAGTTTCCCTTGAGAAATCAGCTGACAGTCTTATGGGAGCAGTTCGTAGGTAACTAGCTGCTTTTCTCTTGCAGCTTTTAGGATTCTCTCTGTTTTTAACCTTATGATATGTCTTGGTGGGGGTGTCTTTGGGTTCCACGTCTTTGGGATTCTGTACTTCCTGGGCTTGTATGTCTATTTCCTTTGCAAGGTTAGGGAAGTTTTCCTTTATTATTCAGTTAGGGTTTAAATCCCTCTCTCTCTCTCTTCTCTTTCTGGTATCCCTGTGATGCGAATGTTGGTACGCTTGGTATTGCTCAGAGGCCCCTTAAAATATCTTCATTCTTTTGGATTATTTTTTCTTTTTGCTGTTCTGATTGGGTGTTTTCTGCTACCTCACTTTCCAAATTGCTGGTTCTATCCTGCTTCATCTAATCTACTGTTGATTTCCTTTAATATATTCTTTATTTCAGTTATTGTATTCTTCATTTCCGACTAGCTCTTTTTTATGTTTCCTGTCTCTTTGTTGAAGTTCTCCCTGAGATCACTGACCATCCTTATAACCAGTGTTTGGAACTCTGTATCTGGTAAATTGCTTATCTCCATTTTGTTTGGGGTTTTTTGGGTGCTTCCTTCTGTTCTTTCATTTGGGACATGTTTCTTTGTCTTTGTATTTTAGCTGTCTCCCTGGTTTTGTTTCTATGTATTAGGTAAAGCTGCTATGTCTTAGGTTTTAGTAGA